GCAGACTGAGCAGACTGGGCAGACTGAGCAGACTTGAGCAGACTTGAGCAGACTCCCAAACTGCCAGTGGCTTTAGGCCCTATTGAGAGGTCGCGACCATCGACCAGGGGCTTTGATTGATTGATTGATTGATTCCTAGACCTATACGGTACCCGCGGAGGGACCACGTAGGCGTTAACTCTTGGCGTGCCTAGTGCCAAGTCTATTCTACCCCCAGGGCCCCCTTCCCTCTAGTCTACTCCCTAGCCTAGTTTGCCTTATACGTATGTCCGGCTAGTTAGTTATTCCTCTCTCTCGGCCAGTTAACCCTTCTATTAGCTTAACCTCTTTACTAGTCAACCTCTTACTCGCGTTATTAGTCTCTTTACTCGACTAATTAACCCTCTCCTATCTAGTTAACCTCTTTACTAGTCTTAGATACTAGGTTTTAAGCGTTATCGTGCCGGGCCTAGACCGACCCTTTTTGCCTCTTCTACTATATAAAGTTACGCCCTTTATATCTCTATTTTAGAGCTTTTATATAAACTAACGAGAGTAGTAGCGAATTAAGGTCGGTAGATACCTAAGGGAGTAGGTTATTTACTTAGTACTATCCTAGGTCTTAGGGTATTAGCGCACTAAGCTAAGGTCTAGTAGTATATATTTTGAGGTAGAGCAGAGGGTTCCGAGCTTTCCTTTCTATTATAGGGGTCCCTATAGAGTAGGTATTACGGTATAAAATAGATAGTTCTAGGCCTAGCTTAGTAGGCTTCTTAAAGTCGATAACTATTATATATTATACTATCCTATTTAGTTTAGATCTAGGGCCCTCGAGGCGTTATCTATATCTAAGTTCTCGGTGGCCGCGTAGATATTAGGGTAGACCCTCTCCCTAACCCACCTAAATTAGAGGAGTTAGTTCGTCTAGATTATAAAGTTAGCGGTATTAAGCGCGCCTAGGCGTATTACGAGTAAGTCTCTAACTAAGCTAACGGGTTAGAGACCGTTCTAGAGAACTCTCTCCCGGAGTTTATCTAGTATATCGTATATAAAAAGGATATATTAGATAGTTTAACGAGAGGCTTAGTATAGCTAGTATACTAAAGATTCGACTATTCCGATTCTATAGAGATAGTTATTTAGTCCGATCTTATCTATTCTTAATTATATAATAATAGAAGTTTACTAGGCGATAAGGTCCTTATACTTAACTAGGGAGTCCTTAGTAATAATATCCTAATATTAAGTCCGAAGATAGAGGCTATATTCCGCGTATTATTAGTAGTCCTACTAGGCTATATATAGATAGTTTTTAACTATAGCCTAGGCGATAGAGATAAGGTATTTTATTCTAGAGGGTGGCGGCTTTAGGTCGCAATAGGGTAGTCCGGTTCTATTCTATCTATTAGCACGTTTAGCAGCCCCTTCCGCTAGGTCGTATCTAGTAATATTTTAGTAGACCGAGATCTATTTAATAGTAATATCTCGAGGCGTCCTATCCGTCTTCTTCAGGCTAAAGAGCTAGTAAACGATACGTCTAAGGATATACTAGCCTAACTAGTTTCGAGAGTTATAGACCGATCGGATTATAGCTTAGTTATCGAAGTAGACGATGATAGATCTATCCTTATACCGATCGTCTATCTCTTAGGCGAGTCTTAAGGCTATATAGATAGCGTATAGCTTACCTAGATAGATATTAAGTCCTATAGATAGGCCTAGATATTTACCCGAGGCGCGTTTAGTGTTAGCGCTATACGCTCCTACGGCGAGTTTATTACGATAGAGGCTTCTATCTATATATACTCGGTAGATCGCCTTACCTTATAGGCTATCCTAGAGATATTATTCTAGGGCCTCTTTAGCTATAAGGGCGATTACTATTTTAGGGGCTTTATAGATTGGCGGCACGGCGAATAGTATACGTAGTTTTATTAGGCTAAGGTTAGTATTAAAGACTAAGTGTGTCACGGATTGACATGGCTGATATCTCAATATCACGTGCTACTGGACGCACCACGTGATATTGGCCACACGTGATTAGCACGTGTATCGACGGAGGCTTGGCACGCCTCGGTTGCCGTATACTTACTTACGCAACCGAGTATAACTCTTTTATAGTCCTTCGTCTTAGAATTTATATTATACTATATATATACGTTTAGTTCGTACCTCGTAGTAGTACTCCGTAATACTTTCTAAGACCTTTATTACCTTCTAAATCGACCTCTATATAAATAGAGCTGCCGATTTAATAACTCTTCCGTTAACTCTCGAGATTCGAAAGATACTACTTACGATTATATTAATTATAGTATCTACGGATCTCTTAATCTTAATAAACTCCCTTCTATAACTACGCTATTCTACTTACGATTACCTTAATTATTAAACTCTTAGTTATATAAGAATCTCGACTGCTTAATTTTAGATTCTTTTACTTACGATTATATTAATTACGTAAGATCTAAATCGATAATAGTCGCTCTAATACTCTCTCCCCTTCTTAAAGTCTCTCTTACGATTACCTTAATTACGAGACTAGAGAAGTACTTTTTATACGAATCTCTCTTACGATTATATTAATTGCGAGATCTATAAAAGGCTTTTTTAACGTCTCTATTAACAGCGCTATTAACTTAGAGATATCTACTCTTCTCGATCTCTCTTGCGACCACCTTAATTACGAGATCTATAAAGACTTTAACCTTAATAGCGCTTTATTTTATCCTTAAGCGCGCAAATAACTACGATAGCGACTTTACCGCCAAGCGCTAGTTTATAGGTTATATCTACTACTTAAACCCTTCTACTACTCGAATCTACTACTCTTCCCTTCTATTACTTACTCTCTTAATCGATCGACTACCTACTTCTTAAACCTCCTACGGACGAGTTTATCTCTTCGAGCCTATTTCGATCGAACCCTATCGAGTCCTCTCCTCTACTATATCCTTTAAGAGAAACTACTATACTAGAAGAGATTAAAATTATTCTCTATAAACTACCTAAGAAGCTTAGATTATACTTTATAAGTTCTCCCTAGTAAATAGAGTAACGCTATACTAACTAAACTCCGTAACTATAGCTTTCCTATTAGTAGACTATAATATATAGCATTTAGGAAAGATAAGTAACGTACTAGCGCCTTAGATCTAGTATTAGACTAGAATAACGATCCTAGTTCTTAGTTATAATCTTAAGGAACTATATAGCCTATATCCTAGGATATAGTTCGATAAGATTCTTAATAAAGTATCTTAGGATCTCTCTTTAGCGACGACGACGTACGATCTTCTATTAAGAGAGATCTTCTATAAAATCTCTAACTACTAGTATACCTAG